GGGGCGTCTGGCTTGTTTCGTGGTGCTGAGCTACCAACAGCATTGAGATACGGTCCCACAACGCAGCTGGGTGTCCTTCAGAGCATCTGACTGCCCTTGTCCCCGTGCAGGTGTCAGCGCTGGGCTGTCCCTGCTCTCCCTCGCTTGGGCTTTGGTCTCCTACAGCCGCTTCGCCTGCCTGCTGAAACCTGGTCACCTCTGCCCGCCGGCCGCGGCCATCCTCTGCCTGCTGCTCTGGAGGACGGGGATGCTGGGGACCAGGGTCCTGGCGCTGGTGCTCTTTGCCAGGCTGTATTCCGTTTGGGTTTTTGCTGTGGCAGGTGAGACCTGTGATCATCTTCCCCTGCTGGCAGCCCCAGGGATGCTGCTGGTCCTGGAGCGCTTTGCAGCCTCCCCCTGGGACGATTCAGTCCTTCCCATCCCTTCCCCTTGCAGGTGTCCATTGGCTGCTCATGTCCTTCTGGCTGGTGGCCCAGCAGACTGACATCGTGGCCCAGCCCTGCCGCTGGAGGTTGTTCAATTGCCTGGTGGGAGCCGTGTACGTCTTCTGCTACGTTAATGTCCGTCCCGGTCCCTCCAAGCACAGGGTGGCCGTGTTTTATGCAGTAAGTGCCCAGGATATTCAATATTCCACGTGGATGCAGCTGCTGGGGAGAAGCAGTAGCTCCAGACTCTCCTTTCTCACCTCTCACATCATGAGTTCATAAAAATCCAGCATTTGCTGTGTCCAGACAAAGCCACATGGTCACCAAGGTGGATGCAGCTTCTGCACTGGCTTTGTTTTCTTAGCAGCAGCCATACAATATCTTAATACCACCAGAGCAGCCAGAGTTATTTTTCATGGTAAAAAAAAAAAAAGGTCGAGACCTAGTGGAAAGTTCAGTTCAGCACCCTTTATGTTTTAAGTGCTAAGTTAGGTGCAAAATAAATTGGCAAAATCTAGAAATACGTGTTTTCTGTCATTGGAAGCACGCCTAAAGCCATTGAAAGGATAAAAGTGACGACCCTTCCCTCTGCTCTGCAGATAATGCTGATGGAAAACACCCTCCTGCTGCTGCTGGCCACCCAGTTCCTGCAGGCAGAGGTGAGGAACAGCCTGTGCGTGACCGGGGCCGTCATGTCAGGGTCTGTAATAGGTAAGATCTGCTGGTTTTTAGAGCCTGGATTGCATGTTTTCAGAGTAAATGAGCATCATCAGTTACTTTAGTTGAAAATTAGCATCATCAGTTTAGTTGTATCAGACTATTTGCTCCATTTCTTCCAGCTTAAGCGCCCGAATGTATTTGGTAATACATAAATCCACCCTGAGTTTCATCTCTTCATCATTTCTTAAAAGCCCATCCCCGAAGAGGGAGGCTTGCAGAAATGATTGAGATGTCTCCAAATGGCTCGGGTACCGCTGCCAAATGCAATATACGCAATTTTGAAGCAGATCTGTGCTTTCTGTGATCTTGGTGCAGGCAGTGGTAGAACACAGGGGATCGCTGCAAGGATACGTTTTCATTTGCCCATATGCTGATGATTTATGAAGGTGGCTTGTGATTGATGAGCCATCACTGGGTATGTTTTGGAACTGTGCTGGTGTGGGACCATGCAGAACTACAGCAGCTTTCTCCCTCCGGTGTTTCCTTTCAAAGACCAGCGCTGCTTCTGTAAATGGAAAAGCTTTTTGTGTTCATGGGGAGGATTTTGTGGTACAGGATGGAGAAGGTACTCCACACCTTGCCCATACCCTGCTTACTCCATACCCTGCCCATAAAGCAGGCAGCAGCTATGGGCAGCTGGTGCATTTAGTTCCCTGTGGCTTTAATACACAGCTCAGCTGAAGGAGGGGAGAGGTTGTATGATGCTTCAGACAAGCCATCGACACCTCTGTTTGAAAAGCTGACACTAGGCAAGGGTGGGAGTAGCTGTTTGCTCGGTGAACTCCCCACCAGGCTCAGGTTTTCCCAGCGGGATGGGGGACAGAGGGAAGCTGTAACGCCGACGCGCTGGGCTTTGTGCATGTCCCCGGACCGGCTGCGCGCAGATCAAGAAGGGGCACGTTTGGGCTGGAAAAAGAGCAATTCTGACCTTGAACGAGTTTAGGATGGAAGTAGGAATGTGTCTTAAAAACCTGCTGGTGTCTCGTTTAATGGCTAGAGGACGGGGATGCTGCAAGATGGGAAGGATTCCTGCGTCACGCTCCTCCTCCCTGCCCTGCGCCCTGTCTGCTAGTGCTCAGCGGCTGCCTCGCTGTGCCCTGATCAGTCTGCAAATCAATCCAGGTTACAGGCGGTCTCGAGAGTGTGCTCAGCACTCCCTTTCCCAGAAGCTGCTCGAGGGAGATTCTTGCATCCCTAAAAATGCTTGAGAGACATGCTGCTCGGACACCTGATGCCCAGCAGCATCTCTGCAAAGGACGTGTTGATCTGGAGGTGGCAGCAAGGTCTGGTCCTCCACACCTCACCGAAACGCTGCTTGGGACTCGTCCCTTGACACCTTCCTGCTCTTTTTTTCAGGTGCTGCAGCTCTGGTGGTTTATTACAGCCTGCTCCACCCCAAGTCCACAGAGATCTGGCAGGGATTCCTGGAGACAACCTGCAGTGCTGCGGCTGCCAGTGATGACGAGGTTGCTGGAGAGAGCTCCCAAGCAGGGCAGACTCTGGGATTTTCGGGAGATGGAGTGTCCTTGGCAGGGGAAGGGACCATGACAGATCCTAAAATTGGAAGCAGCTCATCTCCCCTGCAATTCGGAGGGTGTTTGGAGGACAGCTGGACAAACCATCACCACTGGCTCCTGGTAAAGCTGGCCTTGAAGACAGGAGATATGTCCACAATCAGCGCAGCTTTTGGAGATGGTGGTGTGGGAGAGGTTTACCCTGGAGGATGGGTGATGGAGAAAGCTGCTGGTGTTGAACCCGGGGCAAACCTTTCCCTCCCCACGAGGGAAACTGGTTCTCAGGGTGTTGAATCTGGTCTGACTGATGAGAAATTGCTGGCGACGGGGAATGGAGGAGGTGGCAAACCCAGCGCCGGCGCTGCAAGAACAGCCCAGGAGGACAGAGAAGGGCAGGAGCCTGGTTTTCACCTGGCTATATCCTTTCCCAGCAGCTTCTCCCTGGATCCAACCGAGGGATCCTCTGTGTATTTCAGCACAAGCATGGGAGGCATCGCCTCTCCTGGCACTGGAGCAGCCACAGCTACGTGCATGGCCCCAGGGCAAAGGGACAGCGAAGCCCAGCCTCCCCCAGGAGGAGGAGGAGGAGGAGGGGATTTATCCCTTGAGGGGGCGAACATCAGCCCAATCCTGGGCTCTTGGGCCCACAAACATCTGCAGAGCAGCTCCTCCCTCAGCAGCACGGATGGCTGTGGGGTGGCAGGTCCCCCCAAAAAAGGGTCAGAGCCCATGGGGCTGGAGGGTGCCCTCGTGGGGTGGCGTCACCTTTGGGACACCCGGCCTTGTGGCACACAAGGGACTGTCGTGAGGAGCAAATTCAGGCCACCGTGCTTCACCTCCACCCCCAAGGACGACACTAGGTGGACACAGCAAGGATTAGGGGAGCCGGGAGAGAGGACAGACCTGTCTGGGTTGCTGGAGCGACCCTGAAATCGTTGCATCGTCACATTGGATCAGCATTGGGGTGAATGCCTCGTTGGTAGGATACGGCAAGGGGTAGTGGGACATTAATGCTGGTCGTGAAGACTGTCCCCGTGGTGCCCCTGCCACCAGGCAGATGTGGTCTTCCATCACTGGGACATCACCTTCCCTCCCGGTGTATCTTCTACTTGCAGTTTCGGAAAGCTTCAAAGGTCTTAAAAAGCCTTAAAAGGCCAGGTTTAGGTATTTATTAAACTTATTTACGCAACAATCCTGCAAGGCAGCTGGACCATGCTGCCTTTGATATATTTGTGACGGTGTCTTGAAGCGTGTCCTTTAACAAGTGCCTATATGAACTGCCAGTCTGTCCCAGCATGGAGATCTGGCCTCTCCGGGGGCTGCGAGGCTGGCCAAAGCTGGAGTCTTCTCAGGATAAACAAGTGCCTAAAGCAGAAATATAATGAGTTTTACTCTCGGATGCCCTTACTTCTGGGCAGAATAACCCCTAAAGCAAAGCTCAGCAGTGCTTGATCTATTTTTCCTCCCACAGGTTCACCTTGAGAGCTTTACCAGCTCCGTTTGCTGGGGCCACAGAGGATCACAGATCCTCTTCCTACTGCAGAGCACAACCTCAGGACCCTGAGGTGTAGACAAAAGCCGTGTCCTGTTTGATTGCCTGCCATCCCGCTTCCTCAAGTGGCCTTTTCTGCCCAGCCTCTTCCTTGCCCGCTTCCACCCAGCTGCAGATTATCCAGATCTGGCTGGCTGCTCCCTCCTAAGTTTAGCCTCAAGCCGTATCTCAAAACAGCTGTGTGTACTCCTGCCGCTGTAAAATCCCCGTTGCAGCCAGGGTTTATTTATACTGGGAACTAGAAGCCTCAATACAGTGGCCTCATAAACAGCTAACACTTCCAGCCGGGCTGGCTGGGCGCACGTTTATGCTCAGGACGTGGCTTGACGTGTTGGTGGAGGTCTGGTCAGCTGGGTTGACCATCGTGGGTGCCAGCTGGTGCACATCTGGCCGTGTCCTCCAGCTGTTGTCCTGCTGCGGGCAGGACTCTGGTGTTGCCACGGGGCAGGGGAAGGCAGCAGGAAGGACAGGCAGGCGGTGGATTATTTAAAAAAGCTTCCGTGTGGCGTTGGCTGCTGAGGATTGAGCCAGCCAGATGATTCTTCAAGCTGATCTGGGTAGTGATAACTGGGCTGGTGCTGGTTTCGGAGTGGAGCCGCTTTCCAACGCGGTGAAAGCTCCGTGTGTCCGTTCGGAGCCAGCACTGCCGTGCCGTGGCTGTGCTCTGCAGGAGGGGGAAGCAGTTGCAGCGGCTTTTCCAGAGTCCTCCTCACTGTGTGCATCACACAGAAGGCAGCAGAGCCGCTGTGGCATTACGGAAATTTTGTTCTAGTTTGGTTTTCTACCTTTGATAATATATAATGATGCTTTAAAAAAACAAACCGGCCTTTGCTGTGTCTGTGTCTCGTGTTGGGCGTGCACATGAGCATGGAGGTGTCCTCTCCGGACTTTGCTGTAGGGGATGTCGGACCTTTGCGAGCAAACCGCTGTGCAGCTTCCCGGCTGGATGTGACCTCGCCTTCTCCCCTCTCCTTTGCAACTCCATTTTCCTGATTTCTTAGATTTTCTGCCCATTCCAGTTCTACCAACCCCCAATCAAGCCGTTGGTTTGATTGAGCAGGTTTTTTCCCTTTCTTCAGCCGGAGGGTGTGCAAAGATGGGACACAGATATGAGGGTTGGACTAGGTGATCTTTAAGGTCCTTTCCAACCCAAACCATTCTAGAATTCTATATGAACGGGCTCAGGACTCTGCATCTCCTTTCTCTCTTCCCCCCACTTTTCTCCTGCAGCCCCAGAACGAGTTGCCTGTCAAGATTTTCAGTGAGAGGATGGAGAAGGGACGTGGGCACTTTGATGTGGCATGCAGATAGCAGTGGGCTGGGTGAGTTTGGTTGCTGCAAGCAAGTCACAGCTCAAGGGGAGCAGAGACGGCAAGCTGGGACGTCAGCAGCCCTTTGGGATAGGGATGCAGCCCTTCTAGCGGCCAAATTTCAGTGCCAGGCAGGAAGGATTGTTTAGGTCTTCCCTGTGCCATCCCCCCTTGCCAAGGTGGGAACCCAGCTTCACTAGCAGGGTGTCTGGTGGCAGCTGCCCCCCATCCTCTGACCCAGAGGAGCGTGAA